CTTGTTGTACGTGCTCACGCTGCGCGGCCGCGACCGAGGCTGCGGCTCGAGCTCGCGCTCGGCCCCTGCCGCCGGCCCGCCCGGGAGGCGCCCACGAATGACTGGGTTCGCGAGCAGGCCCGGTGGGGATCGGAGCACAGCGCCCCAGGCATGCTCGCGTCGTGAAACATTCACGGGCGAAGAACGATATAAGATAAACTTTTTCGCCGTCGGGGGCACCTGCCCCTGGGCGGCTGGAAAGTTTATACCCCTACGGTGGCACCGTAGGGGTATAGACTTTCCAGTCGCCCAGGGGCAGGTGTCCCCGACGGCGAAACAAATTATTTTTATACCGTTCTTCGCCCGTTAAAAAAAAACATCAGGACGGGAGGTTTTCGACCGTTGTCGGCCTCTGGGGGCCCTCACCGGGCCCCGGGACCGCCAACACAACGACCTGGGATGAAAAACCGGTCCCTTGGAAAGGGTCACGACTTCCAGCGGCCCCGGATTGGTTTTTGTTGTCAGGCTGCGACCGTTTAGCTCGCAACCCAGTCTCCGAACTAAGCAAACATCAGTACCGGAGGCGCCGCCCCCACGGCGCATGTCTGGCAGGACAGCGCGGCATCGCCGCTGCATTGCTCCGGAGACCCTGAACCCGAAGCATGTGCCATCTCTTCCTGTTTTACTGCCGCTGGCTTCCGCCCGCCTTGGGCCGGCTTCCGCCAGCGGAGGCAGCCTCGTTCTACTTCTGCCGGCTTCCGCCGGCCTCCCGCCGCCTTCTGCCAGGGAAGAGACGACCGCTCGATCCTCGAAGGCGAGGCCCTTTCCGGAACGCCTCGGATGGGGATCGGAGGACAGGGCGGCATCGCCAATACATCGGCGATGCACCAGCGACGTCTCTTGACAGCCTCGCGTCGCGAGGAAATCACGACGGGAAACCTCTGGTCATCTTCGGCCCTTACAAGCCTGGGGACTGTCAAAGAACTGATCAGGACGAGAAACGATCCCTGCCAAGAGGTCCAGATCTCTGGGGGGCAACCTTGCAACAAAAATCACGACGATTGATGCCTGGGTCGGGGATTATTTAAAGAAGTTGAGGCTCGGAATCGAACCGCATTGCTGATGCATCGGCGATGCGGCGCTGTCCTCCAGCCATCTGCTCCAGCGCGGGGTCTCTGGAGGTCCGAAATCGAAGAAACACTCCTGGAGCAGAAACCTGATATTGCCACGAACCCCGACCTGAAAATGGAGGTGGGGATGATTGGTGAGAGCGGCAGGGACAAGGAAGGAGTGGCCTGTTGTGGGCTTGATTAGACGACGGGGGAGACGTCCGACGAAGAAATATGTATAATCGTGGTTGGTCTCTCGGGGGCTTCTGGGAGACTGTTTTGAGGCCTCTTGGGGGCAGTTTTGGGGCATCATAAAAACAAATCCTGGCGAAGGACCCAACCAAATGTGTTGTGAGTAACGCGTTGCGGGTGCCGCTTCCAGAAGGCCGCGCAACGCGTGATGGTGTGTGCCGTGACATGTGGGGGGGACGCATGCGGACGGTCCCACTGGGGCCTTCGGTGGAGCTCCCTGTGGGGCGCTGTGGTGGGCTGTGGAGACGCACGCGGGCGGTGCCACTAGGGCGGGCCTTCGGTGGAGCTCACATATGGGGCCACGATGCGCTGTACTGGGTGGGGGGGACGCATGCGGGCGGTCCCACTGGGACCTTCGGTGGAGCTCCCCATGGGGTCACGAAGCGCTGTGCTGGGTGGGGGGACGCAGCGGTGCCACTGGGGCCTTCGGTGGAGCTCCCTATGGGGCCGCGAAGCGCTGTACTGGGTGTGGAAAGCACGCGGGCACTCCCACTGGGACCTTCGCTGGAGTTCCCTATGGGGCCACGAAGCGCTTTACTGGGTGGGGGGGGGGACGCAGCGGCTCCACTGTGGTCTTCGGTGGAGCTCCCTATGGGGCCGCGAAACGCTGTACTTGGTGTGGCGGACGCATGCGGGCACCCCCAGTGGGGCCTTCGGTGGAGCTCCCTATGGAGCCACGAAGCGCTGCACTGGGTGTGGCGGACGCATGCGGGCACCCCCAGTGGGGCCGTCGGTGGAGCTCTCTATGAAAGACGAACGCTGTACAGGGTGTGGCGGACGCATGCGGACACCTCCACTGGAGCCTTCGGTGGAGCTGCCTATAGGGCCAAGAAACGCTGTATTGGGTGTGGCGGGAGCATGCGGGCACCTCCACTGGAGCCTTCGGTGGAGCTGCCTATAGGACCAAGAAACGCTGTATTGTGTGTGGCGGACGCATGCGAGCACCCCCAGTGGGGCCTTCGGTGGAGCTCCCTATGGGGCCACGAAGCGTTGTTCTGGGTGTGGCGGACGCATGCGGGCACCCCCAGTGGGGCCTTCGGTGGAGCTCCATATGTGGCCACGGAGCGCTGTACTGGGTGTGACGGACGCACGCGGACAGCCCCATTGGGGCCTTCGGTGGAGCTCCATATGTGGCCACGAAACTCTGTACTGGGTGCGGC